AGGGAAAGTTTGCTCCATCCAGATAATAATCTCTTCCTCAAGAGATTATTTTTCAGTTCAGTGATTCCTCAGATAACAGTAATTCCAGTACATTTGAGAGAGAACCATAGGGGGAGTTTTAAATACTCAGGTTTGCATAAATTGGTATCCTTCTCTTCTCCACCTGACAATGTCCCCCAAATACAACAGCCACACAACAATCTGAAGAAAAACACACTTTATAATGGCATAAACATGGATTGATTAGGGCACATTTCCTTAATGCTTGGAGTGGTGCAGTCATTTACCGTATACTGAAAAAAAGAGCAACAAAAATTGGAAAAATTTAGGGCAGAACAAGGGTGGAATGCCAAAAAGGAGGGTCTGAAACAACTCAATTGGAGCTTAAAATTAGTGTTCCTGTGAAGGGACATTTCTTGCACATATTTAAGCCTAAATGAAATTGCTTCAGACTGCCCTTTCTGCATGTCATTGACACTGAATCCAAGTATCTATATTTTTTATTCCTTCCCATCCAAATTAAAAGCTCCCTTGTTATTGGTCTGGTTTCACACACCCTAGCTATCTGTGTCTCTGAGGCTAGATTTACTCTCTCTCTCTCTCTCTCTCTCTCTCTCTCTCACACACACACACACACACACACACACTCATCAAGATGACAAGGCTGCCTAATCAAAACTCCGTCTTGTTTTTCCCCCCATGCAGCTGCCCTCTTGACCTTTTTGAATCCCTATGGATGCCCTTGTTTCTTCAAGCTAGCCTCGTGCCTGTCAGTTAAATGTATAATTGCCACGTCCTCTTGCTTTTCCTTGTTTTTGCAAGGAAAAGGATTGGGCTTCAAACACACAGACATATCTTGATCTTTTTACCTGATCCAGGGCCTGAAGAAGATGGTGCCTCTGATGAAATAACCCAGCTTAATCCAAGTAAAGGACTCTCAAAGTCCACCAGCTCCCATCATTTGCAATCAACCCAGCAGTTTGTTTGCTGGCTAAAGATGGTGAGACTTATAAGCTTAACCCAGCTGATGGGCATAACATTGGGGAAATTTTTGGTCATGGACATTTAAGTTATTTTCTTTTGGGAGAGGCAAAATCACACCCCCAATCTACCAGTTATTTATGAGGGGCATTTAGGACCCAAATTTCCCCCTCCTCATCTACCTCAACCAAGTTTCATGAGAATGGAAGAGACCTGCAGTGTGACCAGGTGCAGGGGTTGACATTGGCCTGCCTTGAAACAAGGTGGACGAGGCTCACATCCTCCCTTGACTTTATAGCTTGCCAGATGGCTTTGCACCAGCCCCTTAGGTGGGATAATTATTTAAGTACATATATAAAAGTCACTTTAGGGCAAATGTTATGTTTCTCAAGGGAATGCTGCAGAGACCTCTCTGGTGGTCTGTGATGAAGAATTCCTTCCCCGTTGCTTCACTTCCTGTGATTTTGTTTGGTCTCTGGCTGAAATTGTTTTTGGTTTTTTGGATCCCAAGCCTTTTCATTCTACTAAATGGCTAAATAGGATGACAGATATGGCAATTCTGCAAGTAGAGTATTTCCCCTTTTGTTAGTAGTAATGGAATAGAAAAGTTAAATGCAAGAAGAATAGAGTAGAATAGAGTATAGAGTATAAAGTATAGAGAATAGAGAATAGAAAGTAGAGTAGAGTAGAGTAGAGTAGAACAGAACAGAACAGAACAGAACAGAACAGAACAGAACAGAACAGAATAGAATAGAATAGAATAGAATAGAATAGAATAGAATAGAATAGAATAATGGAATGGAGGAAATGGAAAATCCACTTCTATTTCAAGAATTTAAAAGCACTTTCAGACCACCCTTCTCTTTTGGGTGGCATATGAAAAAAGGAGCCTCAGACTGGGTGGAGCTTAAATTGAATTTAAATTGAATGGAAATTAAATTAATTCAGTACAGATAGTATGATCAATTTCATTCATGTAGTAACTTTTCCACTTTGACACAATTAAAACCAGTTAACATTAGAAGTTCTGGAGGCATTTCTGCCTTTTTTTGTTTGTAACCCTTGCTGGCAGGGTTCTAAAAGAAACAATTTCTTCCCCTATGGCCATCCTGGGATTCCACATCAATTATTTTACACTGATTGAGACAAACAAGGTTATTCTTTTTGGAAATCATTTGCCCCTTTGAAAAGGGATAAAAACTGACTTTATTTGACATTATCAGAGTCTGCCATGCAATTCCCATCATGACGAAAGTCTTTCTGTGAGATGACTTTGGCTGGTGCTCCCTAATTCGGAATGATCAGCAAGACTCAGAGGTCTGCCTTTGGATGAATGAAATAAAGTTGAGTGATTCTTATGCCCCCTCACCACTGGAATCCTGACCCTTTATTGAGGTTTATATGCACTTAGCCCTTAGCAGATGGCAGCTCCTAATTGATCTTGGCTCATCTCAGAAAAGCTATGCAGGGAGAGACTTATTCATCGTTGGATGAAATATCATAAGGGATGGCCAAGACCGGGAAGGCTAGACTAGGAGGTCCAAAAAATCCCAGTTGGAAGCAACAGGAAAACCACTTCCATATGAGGTCAAAGATGATTCCACATAGTCACTAGGAACTGAGACATCCTTCAAAAGAATCTTCACACTTTCCTAATTTAACCTGAACACCCAAATCAGACCATTACCTCTGAAAAGTTCAAAGGCTGAAATTTTGAGGAATCTCCCAAAGGAAGAAACTTCACACTCAGGAAAAAGAGTTCATACAGTCATTCCCAAATCCAACTTTTGTCAGCTCAGCATCTTCCAGAACACTCATGAAAATAACGACAGGAATCTCATCTCACCCATCTCAAGGGCGCCTCTCGGAGGAGACTGGCTTATTCCCCAGCTGTGGAAACTTGCATACACTGTTAGGAAGATGGAAAAGGAAAAGTGAGGAAAATAAGACATCAGAAAGGAAAAAGAAATCTCCAACAGATAGGCTGACATTGTTGCAAATGGGAAAAGTTTGATCCCTAGCTATAGTGACCACCATGAGGCATGGCACTGCCTGTTTCATCTATATTGAACATATTTAGATGGAGGAATCAGATTTTACTCTGAGCTGGGACTCTTGGTGACTGTCTGAACAAGTCCCTGCATTTTTCTTAGCAAGATTTCAGAAGAGGTATGCCATGGCCTCATTCCTGAGACTCAAAGAGACCAACTGGCCCGAGGTCACCCAGCTGTCTTTGTACCTAAGGCGGGACTAGAACACATGGTCTCTTGGTTTCTAGCCTGATGCCTTAGCCACTACACCAAACTGGTTCTTGGTGTCCTATTGGGTAGGAAGAAAAAGTGAAAACAGTAAGTCTTTTGTTAGCTTCAAGTCTGAAGCAAACCTAAGCCAAGTGTATGTAGCAGGCATTGATAACCCCTGCCCTTCACCTCAGTAGGTTCATCTGGCAACAGCGGGCAGCCATTCCATTTCTCACAATGCTCCAACATAGCCTTAGTTCTTGGCACTGGCAATTCCAACTTTCTTGCAAATTCAAATGGCTACCTTCTCTTTGATGACCTCTTTTTCTAGGGGACGCAAACAAGAGGTCATGTGTTGGTCTCCAAGTCCACAGAGGGCCTTAGTAATTCCTAGTGAAATCCAGATGCTAAATCAGCCCTGACTTCATTCAGGTCTATAGGTCTGAAGACCCACTTCCAATCTTCATTTCCTACAATAGGGATGAGCTGAAATGGCACCTACTGTACGTAAAGGAAGAGGACAGGAAAAATAATCAGGACCGGAAATTCAGGCCAAAGTACCATGCAGATGATGATCCTCAAAGCTTTTAACACAAAAATGGGGCAGAGATGTGTGTTTTTAGATGATCCTGAAACAGGTGTGCATGGAAGAGGCAGTTTTCAAAGAAGTCAAGATGGCGGCTTCAAAAACATGGTTGCAGTTGTTATCTTCACTTTTTGATTCCAACACCACTGGTCAACATAGCTAATAGTAAGAGATGCAGGGAGATACAGCTTAGCAGTAAATGGAGAGTTCATCTTACTCACTCCAGGAACACCCCAGATACCCAATTCTGTAACATTGCCAGGTAAAATACCAGAACTCAAACTTAACTTAGGGGAATCTTATTTTTTTTTTTAATATAACCCCAATAATTATCTTTGCTGCAAGAAAGTCAAGAAGATACCCTTCTCAATTTTGAAAGGGTGTTTTTGCAGAAACAACTTTGGATCGGACCCATGGGAGTTCTTATCAAATATATCTGAAAAGACCTGGGCTGGGGAAGGCGGATCAAAAATGATAGAGGTGGACTCACAGGGAGACAGCTTTTTAAGGATAATTTCCAACATAGGCTATGAGTTCCTTGCTTTTAGCACTGATTCTTAAAAAAAAAAGATGTAAATTTTTGAAGCCCAATAGTAATCCTGCTACATGCCTGGATTTCAGAAATGTCCGCAGGACCCAATCCTTTGGTTAAAACAATGAAAGCACCATCATGATGAAAGGACCTCTATTTTCATTTATGTTTTTTTTCCACTCTATTTTTAAATATGTTTTTTCACCTGCCTCCCTGCAGATGCTTCTGCCTGGTTCCTGATGTGTGTAAAATTTGTGCAGCTGTTCGGCTGGAAACAGAATGATACCCAGAATGCACATGGAAGTATTTTTGCTTTATAATATATGTTTTCAGTCTACTTTTCCAAAGAGGAAATCCCCAAATGAACATTAATAAACAAGCATGCTTCAAAAGGAGGAAGGATAGAACTTAAAAAGAAAAACAAAACAAATAATCTATATTTAAGAGAATATAGTTTTCTCCTTTCACCTACTGTATATCCCTTCCTACCCCACCACTTTATTACCAATTTATTCTTGACTGAAATAATTTTGGTTTTTAAACTATAGTTATGAAATTGAATTGGCGTAGCAGCACAGATCAGCTTTGTCAGAATCTTCTTCCTAACAACAATGTGAAAATTTTAGAAGTTTAAAATGCAACCTGATTATCTGTCTGCTCTTTAGGAGAAAAGACCTGAATTCATTTTTCGTAACTTGGCAGGCAAATGATCCTCCAGTCTTGCCCCCAGGGTATGCAAGAGCTGAGGTCTCTGCTGGAATTCAAGGTTCCCAGTGGACCGAGCCAGGAGCTCTGATTTGGTTTTGAAGGCTGCCAACTTCAGCTTTTCACCTTCCTCCTCCATGTTGCAGACAGAACTGATCTGCTGGATTTTCAAGAGGTCACCCGTGCTGCAAGCTTTCTCAACATTGGTGGAGCAAAGGCTTGGAATACCTCTCTGGATATCTCCCTTCCCAGAACAAATCTTCTGAAACTTGATGGGAAGATGGCTGCTTTTCTCTTCAAAAAATTCAAGACAGTCAAGAGAGGAGATCTTTTCCCGTCGACTCCTATGACTCCCAGTAGGCGTGTTCAGAGGTGACGGGAGAGCCAAATTCTCTTCTTGCTCCTTCACACTATAGGGAGGAGTTGAAACTTCAAAAGTGCCATGAAACTGAGAATAATCCACACGGAAAAAGCCATCTTCCAGCGACATCACAGGGAGGAATCTGTGGCCCCAGAGGACTTCATCTTCTGTATAAGAGGTCCTGGCTTGGCAAGTCATTCCTAAGAAAAGAAAACAGTGAAGGAATCAAATTTAGATTTGTAAATTACGATACCAATCAGTCTGGCTCTTCAAAGGATTTTTGTTATCACGCAGGGAGAGCAGTGGCAATAGATATAACCATCCCTGTGGGTCCACCTAAAAATGGACAGAGCAGGAAATGCAAACTAATTTGGGGCTACTTGGACATATTTATATGTCATATTTTTATGTTACCCATCTCAAAAAAAGTGTGACTCTGAGCAGTGTACAACAAAAACAGTAATTACAAAAATCACTCTATAATTAAAACGTTAATATATTAATAAAACCTAACAGGCTAGATGTTAAATGCAATTAAACCCATATATTTAATATATGAACTTCCTTCTATATTCTGTGCTGAGTGGAAATGGTAGTACAACTTGGGTAGAAAGTCTTCCACAGCTCTTCCATACAAGGCCCGCCTGCCCAGCTTCTGGAGCCAACTCAGTCCACCACTTCCCAAATATTTTCCTTTAAAATGGGTGAGAAACTTGTGGCTCACTACTGCTAATCTGCATTTGCTTCCTCTAGTGCAATTTGTGTTCAGTTTTGGAGCCATTGGTCCCCTCTGTCTACCTGTTCTACTATTTTCCTTTCTACTTTTCCTCCCTAACTCCCTGCAAAATTGTTGTTCACACAAGTGTGGGTCAGAATATTTCATGTATTGGTTTGGACACCACAGTCCCACTAACATAGCCATTCTCCTTTTTTTTAAAAAAAAACCCCTCAAGTTTGTGATTTCCTACATCTGCACAGAGAACTGACTTGCATGTATGTGTGGCATGTTCAAACATTCCTTTTTTCCTCTCCTCTAACATTACAGAAGATAACATGAATGTGATTTTCTAGTGCCAAGGGAGCCACATCTAAAAAATTAAAAGGGGTGTTGCAGTATGCTTTGGCCAGAAATAATGTAAAGTCTTGGGAAATTATTTTTTAAGACTATTCGAATTCTTGGGAAAAGGAAAACCCATTGCATTTGTTACAAGGACTCTGCCTGGAGCTCCTTCTTGGCTTTGTTCTTTCCTGCTGCTCTGCTTGGATGTGACATAGCCTGTTTAGCTGGATGTGGCTTATGCAACGTACAACCCCCCAAAAGCCTTGAGCAAGGGACCCCATCAAATTGTTATTAAATTGTACTGATTTAACCTAAAACTGGGTGGACAACCATGAGTTTGATTGCCTGTTTCAAAGGCAATCAGGCAGAAAACAAACACATTAATCTGCCTCAGTTACTCTTTTTTTTTGCTGAATCTAAGATGTCCTTCCAGTTTGAAAGACATATTTTCTGGGGGAAAAATATATAAAGTTTTAATGCGACAGAAGGGGAAAATCATTAAATAAATTACTGAAGAAGAACATGTGCCAACTGAACATAATTAAGCAAGTTGAAATGAGATGAAATGTAGCTTTTTGTCCGAGCACCAGACATGATTTTTCTAGTGTGGAGGCCCAGGCACACAACTGTGTTGCCCGCAGCCCCCAAAATGTTACGTGCTGCTAATCTAACCATTCTGGCAGTTTTGCTGTACTGTCCCATGCCCCTCTCCCCCTCATTAGGCTGACTGCTGCGGGGTTTGATTAGGCTCTAAATAGGCTTTTTCCTGCCTGACCTGGAATTGGGCTCCTTTTGTGCTACCTAGAGAAGACACAGCTTTGTGCAACCATAATCTGGCCAGGAAATGCATTTGGTTTGGGTGAAAGTAGGGAAAAGCTGTACTTGCTTCTGTTATTTGAACATAATCATTGCACTACAGGAGATTAGCACTGGAATTCTTTTTCTAAAAAGAAGTAGCTATTAATACGTCTTAGGCTGTTCAAATTCACAGTTTAACAAGTAACTATGAAGGCAGATTAAGGAATATATGCCATGATTCTGTGAGAGCAGTTAGGGGCTCTGTTCAAACAACATACAATTTGTTTATAACTACTGGTAGTTCTCAGCTTACGACCACAATTGAGCCCAAAATTTATGTTACTAAGTGAGACGTTTATTAAATGAATTTTGCCCCATTTTATGCCCTTTCTTGCCACAGTTGTTAAGTGAATCATTGCAGTTGTTAAGTTACTAACACCTGGTTGTTGTGAATCTGGCTTCCCCATCGACTTTGCTTGTCAGAAGGTCGCAAAAGAGATCACATGACTCTGGGACTCTGCAACCGTCATAAATATGAGTCAGTTGCCAAGTGTCTGAATTTTGATCACATGACCATGGGGATGCTGCAGTGATTGTAAGTGTGAAAAATGGTCAAAAGTCATTTTTTTCAGTGCCATTGTAATTTTGAATGGTCACTAAATGAACTGTTCTAAGTCGAGGACTATCTATACACATTTAGCAGTTGAGGGCAACCTACATACATCAATACAATTTCCCTTTGAATCCAGCTGTGAAGGATTACACCAGGTCACAAAGGTATGCGAGCCCTTTCATTTCTTCCATGATTCTCTTTGGATGGGAAGGAGAGAAGTTTTATTAGTGCCAGTTGTTCAATGCCGAGCAGTCTTTGCAGTTAGTGCATCCCCTGAGCTTCATGTATTCCAAATTTAAAATAACCAAATAAATAATAATTATACACAAGGGCCATCTAGACTCTCAGCCAAGAAAAGTTAAACCAGGCAATCTGTACAAATTATGCAAATTAAACATTGTAGCATCTTCCCTTATTTTGCATAATATAGTGTATAGCGGTTCTATTTTTCATCACAGGTTCTTTTATTTTTTAACCATTTATAAGGAGTTTTTTAACGCAATTATTGCATAATGTATTATACTCTGTCAATTGTAAGGAAGAAAAGCAGCAAAGGACTGTGCTAAGTGAAGAAAGACACGCACAGCTGCAGATTTTATTATTATCGTACATTGAGATCGTCACACATTTTTAGGCGGATCTCAACAGCCTTAAGGACTAGAAATCTATGTTACAAATAATGGAAGTGTACTGACTGCTCTGATAGCAGGATTGTAAACTTCCTTCTCTGTTCCATATACCTTCTTAAATTATAGCATTGGCAAATCCTTTCCAAACATCACTGGTGGCAAACTCACCACAAATCTCTGCAAAAGAATAATCATGAAGATAATCTAAATTGGAGGCTAAAACATATAAGGAACGGTTGCTGGAATTGGGTATGTCTAGTTTAACAAAGAGAAGGACGAGGGGGGACATGATAGCAGTGTTTCAATATCTCAGGGGCTGCCACAAAGAAGAGGGAGTCAAGTGATTCTCCAAGGCACCTGAAGGCAGGACAAGAAGCAATGGATGGAAACTAATCAAGGAGAGAAACAACCTAGAACTAAGGAGAAACTTCCTGACAGTTAGAGCAATTAACCAGTGGAACAACCTGCCTCCAGAAGCAGTGAATGCTCCAACACTGGAAGTTTTTAAGAAGAGACTGGACAGCCATTTGTCCGAAATGGTATAGGGTTTCCTGCCTGAGCAGGGGGTTGGACTAGATGACCTCCAAGGTCCCTTCCAACTTTATTATTATTATAAATAAAGTTCTTTGCTATATCCCACCTTTATTTTGTATAATTCAAGGGAGTGTATATAATGCTCCACCTCCTATTTTCCCCACAACAACCCAATGAGATATTCCAGAAAGGAAGCACACCCAGATGAACTAATTCTACTTTTATTATAAGGCTGCATTATTATAATTTTGCAAATCTGAAAATACCTTTTTCCTTGATCATCTTTACAGCCCAAAAAACTAGAAAGGGGTTCCTTCTGGGATGTTTGCTGGGTCCACATTCCTTCTGTGGGTTAAAGCTGCCTCTGACTTTCCATTCCTTTGGTGGTAACTCTTCCGCATTTCCCAAGGTCACACCATTACAGATGGGTTGGGCTAAGGGAGAATTGCCTGGCCCGAAGTCACCCAGCCAGTTTTTATGCTGTAATGGCATATGGAAATGACCTTGGGAGTCAGGGGGAAGAGTTGCAGATTAGACAATGATCAGACAAATGGAATGGAAGCATCTCTTAGAAGGGACCTTTCCTAGTTTTTTGGACTGCAAAGATGAGAGGGAAAGATGTACTTTCAGACTTAGAAGATTGATGTCAGTGTTGTGAGATAGTCCAAACAAGAAACATACCCAGAAATGCTAGCCTTAACTTTACTATAAATTTACATTAATAGAATCTTGTAAGTCCGAAAATACAGCCTCTTATATGACAATTGCCTTGGATGTGGCTCTTCCATCTTTCTCTTAAAGTCATTCCCCCATACCATTACATATGCCTAAAGGAGGCCTAGAACGTACAGTTCCTGTTTTCTAGTACAGTACTTTAACCCCTGCCAATCAGTTTCTGTGTCCGTTCTGGTTCAGTTCAGCCTTTTCCATTCCTAAAATGGTCTAGAACTGCAACTCCCAGAATTCTCAGAGTGTACACACATTGGCTAGGAATTCTGGATGTTGCCACATTGAAAAAAGTGGCTTTAGTCCTATTTGTTTCAGGAGAGCTAAAGCATAACTAATATCTAACGCATAGAAAGGTCAGGAGAACGCCATATGGCAATCTAGGAGTGGGGAGGGCAAGTGCTATGTTTGTACCATTCATCCATCAAGTCTAGTTTCTGCAAAGGTAAGAAACAACCTGTGGCTCCATTTGCTGATGAACAATCTCTTAGTAGTTGTTGACTTAGCTCAATTTATTTAGGTATGTTTCACTACGCCTGTTAAAGAGTCTTATGTGCTTAGGTGGTCCTGAAGATAAAATACACAAATGGATACAGAATATATTCAGAGAAGTGATTAAGAAACCCTTTTAATCTCCTGGGTAACGAAACCCTTTATCTCAATATTTTGTTCCAAGCAGAGTACGGCCCCAATGCCTGTTCAGAGTTGGCAGTAGGAGACAATGGTGTCCAAGGGCTTTTACCATCTCTTGATGGAAACAGCTAGAATCAAACTGATAAACTCACAAGACAATCCAAGAACTGAGAATAAGTAATATTTACTAAAGAAAGTAGGAAGCCAATACCAAAAGAACTGTAGCAACTAAAGTTACAGGCGGTCCTTAGCTTATGACTGCAACGGAGCCTGCTAATTATGGTTGTAAATCATAACAGTCATAAAGTGAGTCACCCACATAACTGACCTGATTGTATAACCTTTTTTGTGGTGGTTGTTAAGTGAACATCACAGTCCTTAAGCAAACCTATTATTCACTATAGACATTTTTGCCAAAAGCAGTAGTAGACACTGCTTTTTGGCAGAAACATCATACATTGTGGTAAAATGACTACCTACAAATAGCTGTAAATGCAGGCTGGTTGCCAAGCACCCAAGATGTGTTCATGTGACTGTGAGTAGTGTGTGTGCAATACCCAGCCATTTGAACATTGGAACCAATTTGTAAGTACCTTTGGAGGGGAAATGTTGTAACTTGAAACAGTTACTAAGTGAAAAATCTTGTCAAGGACTATCCATGTTGAAAAATTATCCACTTTTTCTAAAAGGAGGTTCCTCTGATTAGTTTTTCATTCCACCTTAGCCAATGGCCTACTTGGCTTCCTCTTTTGAATGGGTTGGCTTGTTTATATCTGGCCTTTGTTTGTGGTACACCCTGATTTGTTCTTTTTTCTTTTTTGGCCTGGCCCTATGAGAATTAGCATAGTTTGGGAACAACAATTCCAAGGGCCACAAAAGTTTATGATGTTCAACTATAGGTAGTTTGAAGTTTGAAGTTTTATTGCATTTATATCCCGTTGACTTATGACCACAACTGAGCCCAAAATTTCCATTGCTAAGAAAGGTATTTGTTAAGTGAATTTTGCCCCATTTTACCTTTTTGCCAGTTGTTAATTGCTGCACTTGTTAAATGAATCATGTGGTCATTAAGTGAATCTAGCTTCCCCCATTGACTGGCTGGGAAAGTTACAAATGGTAATCACATGACCCCAGGATGCTGCAACCATCGTAAATACATATCTTTTGCCAAGCGACCAAGTTTTGATCATGTCATCATGGAGATGCTGCAACGGTCCTAAAGTGAGAAATCTGGTCATAAGTCACTTTTTCTAATGCTGTTGTAACTTTGAATGGTAACAGAATGAATGATTGTAAGTTGTGAACTACCTGCAGTCATAATTTCCTGTCCTTGCTCGGCATTTCCTTCTGACAACTCCTAGAATTCCTTGCTACTGGCCATGTTGAATGGGGCTGATGGGAGTTGATACAAAACATCTGCCTCCCCAGAATTTAGGGCAAAGAGCATTTTAGGCAAAGTTAAATCTACAGTGTTTGGCTTCTCTCTTTTTAGGAATGTGTAAAACATCTCAGAAATCTTTTTTGGCCTAAAGGCTGCAATAAAAAATTGTTGAAAATCCCAGAACAGCTGAAATACATTTATATTTTATTATACATTTATATTCAGTATTTAAATTAATAATTCTATTGCCCAGAGTCGCTCTGTGAGGGAAATGGGCAGTTTCAAAATATGATAAATAAAATATGATATATAAATCATAAGAACTCCTGAATGAAACTTTATGCCCAATTCTAAGTCACACAATCATAGACTGTGTTTCTGAAGATGGGGGGGGGGGGGGGAAAA